CTTAAAGGCAGTTTTCCTTACAAACCGTCCCTCAAATGACATTGGACAAATCAATAATTGGATGCATTGTACTGTTATCTTGTGGCTCAAAACTATCTCTTTTAATACTTATTGTAGGCAAGACAACAAAGATTGTTTATTCACTCTCTGGTAGTAATTTTGTAATTTGAGGTGTGTTTGAAACCTGTTTTGTGTGTATGCAGATGGTTTACAGATTTTGTTCATTACATCACAATATTGATCAAAAGCAAATGCAATTTCATTACTCAATTGAATGTTCTTCAATAAGCTCCTTACAAGTCATTGGAGCAATTTAACATTTTCTTTTAAGAATTTTTTTTAAATAAGGGTAGGGGACATTGTCTGATCACTCCAGCTTTATATTCAAGACAAAAATTGAGTAGAAAATCGCGTTTAAGTGTTAAAGCTCTTTGTGCAACTTTTTTGATGGGTTTTGCCATCCACTTTTATATTTTTTACCATCCAATTTTACTTACTTAAAACTTCAGGAAGTATAAAGCATATGTACATATGTTTCTGCGGCTCAGAAACAGGACAACTCACATGGGGTTGTCTCTCTACTGTAGCTATGACTTATAACTTAAGTCTCTTGCTTTTCCCCAATGCATATGGTACATGATGGTAAATGTCGTACTGTGGAACATTCCAGGCAAAACAACAACATGAACTCGACAAAAAAGCAGAACATGAAAGTTGCACAGTGAACTTTTAAAGTCAATTTTGAATCAATAATGTAAATGCTTGTGTTAGTTAACCCACTTTGCTTTGTCATGTAATGTCCTCTCAGTGTATATCTCTCTAAAATATGTAGGCCTAAAGGATCAAAGCTGTGTGGTTCATTTCACAGTGTCGAACATTCCAATAGAGCAGATGCACCAGAAAGAGAGAAACCCCAGACTGAGGCTGGAGGCAAATGTGCTGATGATCCTCCAGTATAAATGCCTGCCTGTCAACTTCCACTTCTGTACGCACACAGTGGCGTCCATGTGTATGAGAAATGTGATTACAAATGAGAGTGTGAGTGAGCGAGCGTGCTGCCACAGCTGGCATGGCATCTGGCTTGGCATATCGCTGCTCGGCCTCGCCTGCTGCCTGTGCTCTCTAATGTGGCTGTCTACAAGCCCATTAAGAAGCCATTACTAAATGCTCTGTCTCTGAGCCTATTCCACGGCTTATAGCACAGGCCCATGGGAACGGCAGCAACACAGACACGAGACAGACTCGGAGAATCTCAGAAAAACAGGTGGTGTGAAAATTGAGAGATTTGTTGTCAAAGGATTTACATGCAGATTTGCTGTTGCTGTTTGTTCAAGAGGCATAATGGGTTTAGCTTGAGGAACACATACTGTATACACACTCCCAGTTTCAATCCGGATCAAATTGAAAACTCTTCTGCTAACCCATAAATGCATCAGCAGCCATGCTTCATCATATCTCCCATCAACAGAGCAGAGAAACCCAGAACATGGATGCTTTTAAACCAACTATAAATACAATTCTGTTTTGACTGGATTTTAATGTTGGCATTTGAGGCCTTCTGTGGTTTGACCCATTACAGCTGTTTACCATGTTTTAGCTTCTGTGTTTTTCCCCAACGCAGGACAGGACGTAAGAGACGCACATGTTTGGAATGTTACGAATGTGATTGATAACGCAGATGTGTGGATGCAAATTATTTTATAAACGGAAGAGGGGAAATATTTGGATTTAAAAAAAAACAGGCATGGCACATGGACATGGCACCACAGTCAAATGACATCTGTGTTTTACTCAGTAATGTTTTACTGACACTTACAGTAGGTGACTGCACATGCGCAAACAACCGCGCTCAGTGCAGGAAAGCTAAACCACGACAAACTTGTCAGCGAGTTACCACCAATTTTCCGGACTATGCATCCCTGGCCGATTCAATTCAGTGCAAGTCATAAGAGTAAACTCGGGTAATGACAAAAAATGTACATAGGTAATTGTGTTGTGCAATATTGGCTCATGCGGTTTTGCACGTACATAAACATACATTGTAGGTATAAAGAATATTTTTTGAAATAAATATATGATTTGCATTTTTGTAGTAGGTAGATCATTTTGACTTGATCCTTTTATAAGTAGCTCGCATGCTGAAAAAGTGTGAGCACCCCTGTTTTAGACAGTTATTTTTGTTTGGCAATTTAAGTTTCTGTGGAATGCTAAGTCTGTTATTTCAAGCCTATTATACTATTTTATTATTGTCTGTTTTTGTTAAATATGGACTCATTGTTTGTCTGAATTAAAGATTAAATAAATACAAAAACAAGAATATTTTGGCATACATATATTTGTTTATTCGTTTTGACCAGTTATAAATAAGAAACACTTGTTACAAATACGTCGCAGCTAGCAGACACTCTGGAGTAGGCACCTGGAAGAAAAAGAAAATGAATTGTCCTATAAATATACGTATATGTACAGTAAAAAAGCATATTTACGGCTCATTTATGTGTAAAATATATCAGGGAATTAAGTGTGTGCTTAACCATTTATGACCGACTAAATTAAAATAGTGCATTTTATCATTGTCTACGTCCATGTCCTGGACCTGAGTTGTGTAAGGCCATTTTACTCCACATGAAATATGTGTTTATTGTCCTCTATGTAAAATGGTAAATTGCTTTCGAATGAGTACTTCTGTCACAGGTCCTGAAGCCACCTTGCATAGACATAATTTACCAGCCAGACACATGTAACAGCACTGAACTTGGGGATTGCCTAATAGAGTTTAAAGGGTGTTTCTCATACTACAGAGCGTTACCTGGTTTTCTGTTTGTGTGTGTGTGCAATATGCTTGTGCATGAGCTGCTGGAACTAAGCGGGGCTCTTAATCACGCCTGTAACAGCCACATTACAGTGGACTAATGATGAATGCCCAAGCCTCTGCACAAACCCTGACCTCCTTTTCTGCTGTGATACACAAAAATCTCCAACTCTCTCTCACTCGCCAAACACAAATCTAATTGTAATTCTCAAATGGGTGGCACACAAAAACACAGCTATTCGTTCCATAGGTCGCTCTGGGATTCCATTAATGACCAACCTAAATGTAAAGAGGGCATGTAAAGTCCTAAACCTATTTTCTACACTTTGCAGAGTGCATCTGAGGAGACATACAGTATTTTGTAAGCCCCCAATTTAAGACCCAAAAAGTGTACAAAAACTGCTAGGACACACACACACGCACACACACTCACACACACACACACACACACACTCATATTCACGGCTTGCTAAAGTACTAATATTTTTGTATAACTCTTTTGTTTTGAAAGCCCACATCAAAGTAACAGTAACTTTGAAGTGAAAGATTTGATTTTGGTCTGATCTGACCACAGCACCTTCTTTTGCATATTCCCATGAGTTCCTCCGGAGTCATCATGGTTGCATGTCAGTTAGGTAGATGGCCATGTCTTGGTCAATGTCAATGTCAATGTCAACTTTATTTATATAGCACATTTACAACAACACCAGCTGCCCAAAGTGCTTCACAGGCACGAATGATAAAAATAAAATAAAACAGCATAAAATACATACACAAACATGTAAAAGTAAAGTGGTAAAGCTCACTTGGTGTTAAAAGCCAGAGCGTAAAAATGTGTCTTTAAACTAGACTTAAAAACTTCCAATGAAGGAGCCGCTCTAATGAACAGAGGTTTTGGGGCAGCAACAGAAAAGGCTCAGTCTCCTCGAGTTTTGAGACGAGACCGGGGCACGTTTAACTGGTTAGCTGGTTTTCAGACCTCACTGACCGGAGCATACAAAGATAACAGCTCCGACAGATATACAGGGGCCAAACCATTCAAACATTTAAAAACAAGCATCAGAATCTTAAAATCAACCCTGAATGTAACAGGGAACCAGTGAAGTGAGGCCAGCACAGGCGTGATGTGCTCACGCTTACGTGTCCACGTGAGTAAGCGAGCAGCAGCATTCTGCACATGCTGAAGGCGCTTTAATGAGCCGAGGTCCAGACCACGTGGTACGTTTGCAGTGGTGCCATACTCTTTCCATCTTCTTTCCGACTAAGTTCAAAGAATGGGAATTATTTTTATAACTCAATGCTGTCCACAACTTCATCTCTGACCTCTCTGGGGGTTTCCTTGGAATTCCCTTGGACTTTATGATGCTGTTTGGTGACCAACACACTCTAAACGTAGCTCTAAGGCCATCACATCAGCTGTACAGCTGTAGTGATACTGACACAAGATAACACTCAGGTGGGCTCTATTTAATCGGGAGGGCAAATTGTGAGCATTCAGCAGCTATTAGACATTTTCCAGAGAGAGAAATGCTGTTATTAATTAATATGCTTTCACTACACAGTTTTCCTTATGCTTGTGGTCGTAAACAACACGACATGTGAAAAGTGTTAATACTGTAACATACATTTATACTTTTTATGGGCTAAAAGAGGGATGCAACAGTGGATGAGTAGTTCTAAACGAGTGTAAAGTTTTGATGAAGGACAAACTAATGTCACAGACTGAGGCAGTGCAGGCTTCCTGCTCCGCGGCTACCACATGTGATCCCGGCTGTCACTCACACTCCATCGCCATGACAATCATCGTAAGGCAGGCGCCTGGGGGCGGGGACAAGCCTGTCCTTGTAATAAACAGAAGCCCTGTGCAATCTGACGCCAACCACTGCTGTTTGAGAGCCCCCTTCTGCAAATACACACTTGTTTAAAAAGAATAGGGAAAAAAATATAGCTTTTTAGTAACGTTCTCTTGCAATGTTTTCAATGTATGACATCCGTTCCTTTTAGATGATGTCCATGTAACGATGTCAGTTAGTCACTCTTCATGCTTATTAATGCACAGTATGCATTGATATTAGAGATAGGTATGCCAGCAATGCATTGAGACATGATCTAAGTTTAAGACCGTGACGTGTGTGTGTTAGAGTTGGCCGTGGGGCAGGGAGCAGGCACTTGTCAGGCTGACGCAGAGATGGCAAACTGGATTGTGACGCCAGGCCTGTGTGACAGCTCCTTCACCATTCACACACAGGAGCACAAAGCAGAGCCCCGAACCTCCCCTCAGCCTTTGCTGGTGAGCTGTGAAAGCCAGGACACAGAGAGAGACCAGACTGAAGCGAGCTCTCTGTAACTGCAGGCTGATTGGTGCACGGGGGTGCGTTAGTTTCGAGGTGGTGGGCTGGCGGGGAAGGGCGGGTGGGGGTTCAAAGTGTCACATCAATTTGTGGCTGCGCTGCTTCTGAAAGAGGCTAACCTCACTGCCACTTAGGCTTTGCCCCACAGTGAACAGCATACTGCCAGACAGGACCCCAAATATACGCAAAGTGGTTTCAGGACACAGATACAGATTTGTATACTTTTCTAATTAGTCTGGAAATGTTTTTTGCAGACAATACAAAATAACCACTGATAAGTTTACATTTCAGTACATTCATAATATTACAATTTTATTGTAAAAGTTTATAAATACTGAACTTGCTCTTCTAAAAGAGTCAACCGTGTCTAGATAGATTACTAGATATGGAAATTCAAGTGAGTCAGACAACGATACGGGTAGTACCACATATTTGGCTTTATTAACACAGCCACATATCAAATCTATCAAAAGCTTTTATCATAAATTGTATTTTGGAATCACTCCCCATTGTGCCAATGAGCCAAGTGAGGAGAAGTTGCTGGTTAAAAGCCCCCAAGGGTGACCTGGCCAAGCTCTAGACCACTTTAACCACTCGTCTCCATTAACAGGCTCCCTGATATCATGATACTCTCAAGGGAGCAGGCATGCTCTAACAAACATTTGCTCTCTCTCTCTCTCTCTCTCATCTCTACTTGTGCCATGATGTTACTCAATGAAAAAAGACAGCACCAAGAAAAAATATGAGATTGATTTATTTGCTTCAGTGTTCTTTGGGATGGAGTCCTCTCCCTCGCTTTCTCCTTTTTCCCTCGCTCTCCCTTTTGTGCAAACTGAAACCAATTAGTGAGCAGAGCACTTGTAGCGGGGAATGTAGGGCAAGCGGGGAGTAATAAAAAAGTATTGACTTTTCTGTGACTGTACGCAGCGTGAAAGGGGTGCCGCGGCCTTGTCCGACATGAAAGGAGCTCCATTAATTTCACTTATTTCACCCAGGCCCCTGTCAGGAGGCCCTAATGTGTCCAAGGCACGCTGCTCACATGCAGCCAGACAGTGCACGCAACCCCAGCCTGGTTACCAAATGAGTTTGCATTATATCAGAGTATGGAAAAAGTCTAACGTCTAATTACCTGGATGAGGGAAGGAGGCCCTTCATATGTAGTAAAACTAGCTTTACCCCAGTTCAAAGCACATAGTGCACTATTAAAACCTATCGAAATGTTCTACAGTCATGTATTCACTATGCGATTCACTATGCAAACGTCCCACTCAACTGTTTTCATTATACCACATTGTTTTTGAACATAGAGGGGTGTTAACAGAAGTCCATATTTCTACAAAACCAAAAAGATGAAAAATACTATTCCCAGAATTAAATGCACATGGCCTGTGAGCTTGGGTGGGAATCCATAGTTTGATTTTTTTTAAGTCTAAAAAAGGTATACGCTTTCCGTTACAGTGGGTGGTGTGCTGGGCTCAGACCCGTTACAAAATGAGGTTCACAAAGATTTTAAGGATACGACGGCACGTGGCTCCGAGTAGGTTTGTGGAATTCTTATCTTGGTGAATGTAATAGGACGTGCAGTGGGCTAAAAGAGCCGCATGTAAATAACGGCCAGAACAAATGTACTAGCACATTGGTCCCCAACCCCCAGCCCGCGGACCGGTTTCGGGCTGTGGTCCAGTATCCAACCATGGACCAGTATTGGCATGTGGGACATTTGAACCGGGCAGCTAAGGAAAGAATAAATCACTTTTGTATTTAATGACTGAGTCGTAACACTCCTTTGTTTTCAAGAATCACAGGATTCTTTCCATGTCATGTGACATGCTAGTGCTGAAACGAAAACAAACGTTCCTCCACCGCAGACACCACAGTCAAGTGCATCACCTCCACGGTAAGAAAACATAACTTTACAACTCACACTATGTACAGTATTTTGACGATGGTTTTGTGGGGGATTTTGTTTGTTTTAAGCTTGTTCCCTGGAAAAGTTTTGTTGAAACTTGTGGACATTGTTAGACTTTCCCACATTACTGCTCAGAACCAAGTCAGAACATCTCGAACGCATGTGTTGAACCTTTGGCCATATTATCAATACTGTCAGTGTGAAGAAGGTTACGCATTTTGCACTTATGCGTCACGTTGTTGTGTACATACTACAGCAATGTTCCTGGAGTGACAGTTCGTACAATCGTTGTCTGACTTTTGTCTATGGCACTAAAAAGGTTGGAGATTTCTGCACTTGCAGGTACAGTATATGGGCTGCATAAATAGCAAAAATAGCTCCTTTCTTATCCTTCCTTGAGCTTTTATGAGACAAATGGCTCCAGGTTTGGTCACCATTTAAAGTTGTTTCATGCCACAAAAGTCAATAAGAATGAGAAGGAAAGACAAGTCCGGAGTAAATTGCAGAATTCGAAAATGATGACTGAAGCCTGTGCACCACACGTTATATTTTGGTTATGAAAATACAGTGCCAAATGATGGCATAAACATGATGTATGCACTAATTCTGGACAAACTCTAGACAAAAGACATTGTTCCTTCACCTTACATGTATGAAACCTTTTGATTACAGGATGAGTTCTATTCTTTAAAAATAGAACCTAAAAATTAATGTCAAAGAACATTTTTAAATGATACACAACAAAATGTATAGACTTTGAAGCTAACTCAAGGTGGTTGATTTGTGCTATCATTTACATGAAGTCATTCGTGTCCAGGAAAGCCAACGCAGCCCGAGAGGCTATCTGCAGACAAAAACTAATCAGTGTGTGAGATAAGAAAGCAGCCTTTATAGTGTATGTTAATCAGCACCCCTCGGCCTGCCACTGCCATGCATAATCACCAGCACTTATTCACATGATTGATGAAATATGTGTCTGTGAAATCTACGCTTTTGTTATCATCTTGTTTTGCTCTCACCCATTTCACTGTCGCTCAGCATATCTCCACCCTCCTCTGTAGTGGTCCAGTACAAATGAGAAATTACACAAGCAGTATGTGGTCTGTATTGAAACTATTTAGAAGCAGATGAAAACTTGAATAGGATGCCCACAAAAAAACAAGATGAATATGAATTTAATTTATGGAGTAAAGCTGAAGTTCAATGAATTTATATTTAAAAGAACATAGTATAGTGATTTGAACGAAACATTTTGGTTATGAGGGTTCTATACTCCTCTACTTTTCTTAATGCAGTCACATTCCCATATTCGAATGAAATGTAAAGGCAATATGGTACATGGATATGTAAGCTCACCTTGTGCTTTGACGTGCCCTAAATTACCAATTTATTAGTCAAAATGTCCATATAATTGGAAAATGTAGGAATGCTGTGCCACATTTTATCTATGAAAGAAAGAAAAACAATACACTATTTTGAGAGGTTGCTGTGTTCAAGACAAAGAAAATGACTCTATCAAACAGCTAGGCTTCTTTAATGTGGAGAGATTGAAAGAGCATTGCATAAAAAGGACCAGGACTTGGATTGTGATTTGGGATGAGAGATACAGGGAGGGAAAGGGGCTGAGACTCTGGCTAAGATTAAGGCAGGGGCCGAGGTGGGCGAATTAAGCCCCCCCTCTCTTTGCCTCGGGCTACTATTACACATCTATAATGAGAAACACAGGAGTGGGGGCCCTTGTCTGTGCACCTTGGCACACCTTAGATTAAATATGCACAATTCCTATGCAAAACGAGCCGTGAACAGAGCAGCCCAACGCTCATGTCTAATCCCCTGTGCTGGAGTTGTTTCAGCCAGGGTTAACAGGCTCATCAGTCAACACAGGCTGCTTAGCGCAGGACATCCAGGCCATTTGCAGCTTTAAGTGTTTGTGATTGCTTTTCCTCTTCCAGAAATGTCCATGTGTCCAACCCCCACCTGTTTTCCTATGCAGAATACTGAGAATATGAGCCTAGTTTAAGTTAAGCATGCAGACCGGAGCAGCCTTCTCTCTTCAACTTAAGCTCAGAAGTAACAAGGTTTAGAAACAGAAAGTACAAACTTTGTGTGAACTTTTGCATGAGCACATAAATAATTATTTGGAACCTAAAATGTTATACATTGGCTTTCATTTGAATGCGTATGGTGCTTGGGTCTAAAATAACTTTTAATGAATGATTAAACACAAAACATGATGTTTTCTTCATTTCTCACCATCAAAAGCAAGTAACAAGAAATCTATTAGATGTATTCTCTTCTTACCACAGACCACTATTAATGCATGTATTCTGTCTTGAAAACATTCCACACCAATCTTCAATGCGGTTTCATCACCAAACTATTTACATATCACAGCCAATTCAGACTTCTATCACAAACACACAATTCGTATGTGAGCCTTGTCATGCTCTTGTCTTGTTCTTCAGCTCCTGCGCGTATCGATAGTACACACACAAATACTCGAGCCAGCGGCAGGGGGTAGTGAAGAAGTTGCAGCTATAGCAGATAAAAAAAACAGCGAACACAAGAGCTAAGAAGAAAACAAGACAGAGGAAAGGAGCGATGGCAGGAGATTGAGACGGGCAGTGATTCCACAACACTGCACACGGTACGGTTCAGTGAAGCGTGTCTGCTCAGGACAGGAGCTTCATTCTAATGCTACGGTCCTGATTGTTTCTCTTACATTTATAAATAAAAATACTTTTTAATGTTTTAAAACATCTGGAGTATTTGTAAATATGATGTATATACATTTAGTGCAATAAAATGTGTACCTAAACCGAAAAAATAAAAGCATAATGCTGCCCAAGTGCCACCTACTTCCTGGTTCCACAAAAAAAAAAAAAAAAAATCATGAATTTGGGGGAAAAAAATTATTATAAAAGATTGAAAACTTGTTCAGGGCTGGTGAGTAATGACCACAAGATTTAAATTATTATATAATGCTTGATTTTTAAACATAAAAAAATGGTTACGTGATGAACACTTTTATCAGAAATGAACTGATTAATTTTTCTTTTTGGGCTGAAAACTGTGGGGGTTTATTAGGTTCCTAGTTCTATAAGCTTGTATTATTGGGATTTTTTGAAACTCCAATGGGGATTTTTTATGGAAAAATATATATACTTCTAGAACCCAAAGGGTCTGTCCACTTCACATCCCCAAACAAATCTATCAGAGATGCAGAAGTGAATTTGTAGAAGAAATATTATACTTAAAGTGACCCACGTCAGCCTGACCAAAAAGGTCCACAGGTCTTCAGCAGAAAACATTGTTTTACTGTACAGAATATTGATCGCTGATAATTGAACTGATACCATCTCTATGTAATTGGACTGTGTGCGTTTGGCCTTTGCCACTGCTCTATATGCAAGCCTTATGGCTTAAATCCATCCATAATGGAAGGAAAGTGTAGGGTTAATTGATAAACCTGCTGTCCCCAGTTGGAGTGAGGCACATGGAATGTTTTATGGCTGTGCAAATGAAGGGGCTGCAGAGTTTTACACAAGCCATAAAATGTTATGGAAAATTAGCATTCTTCTTTTTCATCACAGTAATCGAGACACTAATGCAGAAGTGGATGGATGGACATGATACAGCCAAAGCCATATCCTGCCGGGCCATAGGTTTAAGACATCAGTGAGGTAAAGGATATAATAATCAATCAACTGAGTAATGGAAAAGTCCAACTGAACTGTGAAGAATAACAATATGATAAATTAATTTTATCCAGTTATCAGGAAGTGCCTCTAATGGTCCATACTTTTTTATGTTTTGTGATATAGTTTATGGTTAGTAGATACTTATGAATACCTTTGATTCAAAATAATTTTCAGATTCTTATTTTATATGTTACTTCACAGCCATCTAAAATTTGAATGTGATTTAAATATTGTAACAGTTTTGTTTTTTTCTCAGTTAAGATGACCACTGATCTAATGTGAGTGGAAAGAAAGGCTCGGAGCAGCTGCAGACACAGACGTGACCACTCAATGTTGTGTACTTCATTAGTACATATATCCTCTTATGAGCCAGTTTCTGCTCATGGGCACAACCGCAGGTGCCATTGCTAAAAATAAAACATTAAAATAAAATAAAAAGATAGACATTGTACATTTGGGGGAGCAAAAGATTCCACCCTTAATAAAGCTGTTTTATGTACATTATGTTTTGTTATTTCTTTACAAAATTATCTGGAACGTGAGCATGTTTGCTGTACAGTAGAACATTCTGTACGTTATAATTGCCCTATGAGAAAATGAAAAACTATGTCTTTATTTTAGAGAGCATTAACAGTATATAGTGAATTTGTGCACACTGCCAAAAAGCTACATGTTCTGTGTTGTGAATATAAAATGTGACAAACAGAACTATGCTAATCATAATGCTCTAGGCTGCATTGAGGGCCCGCGCAAGGCTTCCACTGATGATTACAAGCAGGTCGAGGTAAAGTGGCAGTGGCTGGGTGAGAGGGCTATGGCAAGGATTTGAAAATAATTAGGAGCATGGCGGGATAACAATGCTGGATAATGTGGCTGGGGGGCAGCAATGGGAACATGATGAGTACCATGGTTGAGCTGTCCACTCCACTGGCCCCTCTGAGCACTGACATGGACTTGTGCTGGCTGCTGTTGTAGCTGCGGGTGATGCCAATGATAGGACTAATGCACTAATTACCACTGAGCGGGTGAGGAGAGAGTGGCCGTAAATAGAGGGTTGTGGATTAGATAGAATCATAAAACGCGGTGACAGCAGCAGAGGGCCCGACATACATAGTTAATCTGAAATCAGCATGTATTAGCTGTGTCAGAAATCGTAAACGCTACAAGTGGTTTTAAAAGATGAATATCATTAGAAACAAAATACAGATGGCCGGATGATATTTCATAGATGAGAACTTTTTTTTTTTATAACCACTCAAATGTCTGCATTGTTTTATGATTTCAAGTGATAAAATGGTCATCCAGGATTCTTTCTGTCTCAATGCCTACGGCTTTCTATTTTGTTTAAGCCTGGGAGCATTGTTCCAACTGGCCATGCGTTGTGTTGGCGACGAGGGGTATAGGAGACCCTTTGTGACCACCTACGCACTCAGCATCCTTATTTATCTGCACTTCCCCAGGCCATGTTAGTGCTCTCCCCTGTCGTGCTCTCAGACTTCCCAAGCTCCACACTGACTCTCTCGTTTCACTCTTCTTTTCCGGGCAATTGGGTTTGGGTGCTGCTGGTGGGGGGTAAGGAGGCCAGGGTGGAGCTGCTGGGAACTTTGCATGTGTGTGTATGTGTGTGCTGGGAAGTGAGCTAATAAAGGACGGTGATCCATGAAAGGCCTTGAGCAAAGACACAGTCAATTACCTAATGCCTGGACTAGACCGTAGGGCCCACGCTCACACGCACGTGCACCGCTTCTCCGTACACCTCATTTACGTATACATGGGAAGGGGGCAGCGGAGGGCATAACTGGGAATTGCGTGTATGTGTGGGAGGCTGCACATATGCGTTTGATGGAGAGCGGCGATTTATTAAATTGCTGTCACTTTTGACAAATTTGTGCAACTCAAGTTGAAAGGGTTAGGCTGCACTGATTGTCTCCATTTTTTCTATTCTTCTAAAGACATATCTCACAGACCAAAACAGGCATCATTGAAGTCTGTCTCAGCCAACTAATGGAAATATCATATTCATGTGGCTGACCAAAAGGTGAGAAAGCTAGTATAGCATAGTGAAGTACTAGTATAGTATATTGCAATAGTTTGCAAGAACACAAGATGAACACAAATGAGTCTTACCTTTCTTTATGAATCAGTTGCTGTACTTATCAGTTGCTGTCTTGTTGGCATAAATAGGCTTTGTAAACGCACTGCTGCTGTCAACGAGATTAAAACACACACATATATATATATATATATATGTGTGTATATAATGACAAATCAGTGTGATATTCCATCACTAACACACCTGATTAAAAAAAATAATAATAGAAAAAATTGCTTATAACACACTTGTGTTGACGCAGGTCATTCTGCACATTCTCCAGGAGTGTATATGAGGTCTGAAGGTGCGAAGACAGTTTAGGGCAATAGATGCGTTGCTCCCACACTTGTCCTGGCTCTCTGAGCAAACCCTTGTTGGTCCAAAAGACAACACAAAACAAACACACACACACACACACACACATAATCAGAGTCAGACAAAGAGCACTGTGGATTTGACAGAGCACTGTAGATCTATTAGGTTAGAATTGGTTAGCTCTGACGTGTAGACATTCTTAATGAATGAGAAAACAATGGTGTGGTAATGGTGCCACAATGATGCTATAAACAGCTCTCCACTGCTTGTGAATGAAGGCCGAGAGAGCGGAATTGAGAATATCTCAGAAAATCAAAGTTCAGGCATGTGAACGTGAAAGAAGGCTGATGATTTTAGGTTGAGATGTGTGTGTAAAGGGAGGAAACACAAATACACAGAGACATCACAGGAGAAACAGTGGGGATTCCCCCAAAACGAGGGGAATCACGGGCCGTGGGCCGTAACAGTGATACAGAGATACAATCATTGGCCGAGCTTGACCACTTCCACACCAGCACCTCCACCTAATACATCAACAGTAGATACTGTAGCTATCACATAAGGGACCATGACAGGATTTGGGTGATGAGATTCAAAATTATTACAAATGGGGAAATGCTGAGAAATAAGTCACACATTAATCAGTGACTTCTCTCCCTCATGAGTTTTGAAAAACAATTCATGCCTCATTTCTGCTCAGTTATGTTTTACATAAGAAGAAACTAATAAGAGGCATAAATACTTCCAGAGCCTAAATAACATAATGGTTAAATGACTCCTCATTAACTCAGCTACAAAGCACACATCTTGGGAATATATAGTTGAAAGTGGTTGAAACTGTCGGTCAGATAATAGCTTTTCTTGGGCACAAATTGTGAATTTGATGACAGGTGAAGGTAATCTTAGACCACAGCATTACTATAAGTAGATATTTTTTAATTTTCTTCTCAACCTTTGGTCACACATTTTAAACATTCAATCATGTTAGAATTTTTCTGAATTAATTTGCCATCCATAACATAATAGGACCCATATTAAGGCAAGTTATATGAGCACCAGTTATGCTTTAATTCATTCACACTTGAATATCTTTTGCACTCATTCCCGTCACTTCTTACACAACACTCCAACACTGTCAGATCTTTCTGTGATGAGCAGATAAGATTTTTTTCTTACTTTTAGGTCCATAAATTCTATATCAAACATGAACATGAAGTCTACTCGTGACTGCAAAAATGTTTTGTGGTCCAAATAAAGTAAACACAAGGTTAAATATACATAAGGTACTGTAAACGTTTAGGCCGCGTTCACCTTGTTCATTGAACCAGCAATCAACTGCTGTATGTCCCACATCATTTCGGATGAATATAATGCAGAGGACATATTTTAACAGACAGTGCTAAAAACAAATTAAATATTTTTTTCAACTATGTTATTGTATTTGTATTTTATAATATGTATGTAATGATGACGATTGCTGCTGTTTGTGGTAGCCCCAGCTTTGATCTCACCTGTGGTTTCTTGCCGACAATGGGGGGCAGTATGGGTCTTGAGGAGCTTTCTGAACATTTGCTTTTAATCCATGGGGATCCAAGGGTCTCAGGAAAATTGGGGGCTGCTGGGCCAGGCGTGCCCAACAGAAAAACCCTGTCCCTGGGGGTGAGCCTGGCGGGGGCCTGGTACTTGACCTGCCTCAGCAGCAGCTCCATCTCATGGGGGGCTTGTCTGAATGGAGAGTTAAAGACCCCTGGGCACTGATGAAAGAGAAAAAAGAAACAATTCCATCATGGACTAGGTGAAACATTGAAAATGACATATTCACAATGGGATGTTTAGCCGGATACTCTCGAGTTTTGACAAAAATAGACAAAGGTAATAAAATAGAGGTTAATATTCAGGTTTTATGGGCTGTGCCATTGGGCAACGACTGTAAAGTGATGGCTTCCTTTAAAAATGTGTGGGGGTCTGGTTCTGAATATCATATTGTATACAATATCACAAGGTTATTATTTATTTAATTTTAACAGCTGTTTACTGTTGGGTAATTTATTTAAGTTACAAATAATGCAGTGTATATTACCCTGTAAAATGGCAGATTTATACACTCGTATATATTTTCAATACTGTCTGTTTATGCTATTTTTCATGAGTGTATAATCAGTACATTTAATCACACACAGTAAAAAGAAGAATACATACATAAAAAGAATGATATATGATACACACACGCACACATATATATGTACCATCTGTTGATGTAAAATAAGAAGGCTACATAAAGAACATCAGACATCAGAACACACATTCTATACATACAATGTAATAGTGCTTCACACATTTTAACACACACAGAGAAGCCAGCCAAAAAGTACCAACCTAGCTGCAGGAAGAGCAATGATGTTGACCCCAGGAACACACCATCTCTGTCTCTGTCAGAAGGACTTTTGGTAAGCCTTGTGTGTGTGTGCGTGTGTGTGTGTGTGTGTGTGTGCGTACGTGTGTGTATGTCTGTGTGTGAGTGTGTGTGTGTGTGCATGTGCGTGCGTGTGCTTAGATGCGTGTGTGTTTGTGTGTGGGCTGGGGTCCGAGAAGTGAGGAAGGATGAACTGTGTGGGAGAGCCATCTATTCACGCCTGACAAGGTCAAAGCCACGAAGGGAAAGAGTCCCCTGCCATATGCAGAGATAGAAGAGACGGAGATAGTGGAGACCAGATCGACACCAGGCAGAGAAGAAACTTTTTATAGATCTTTACAAGGCTCTTTGAAAGAAAATATTTAGAAGCGATAATACAAGTAAAACATATCAGAAATTTGTGAAAGAAGTCAACATCTGATGATGCACAAGATGATGAGGAGGACAGGGACAGTGGAAAACCACAAGGAGACCGACAGAAAAAGTAGTCACAGAAAAAGAAAGGTAGTGGTGCTGAATCAACAGTGACCAGTGTGCTTTGTCTTCATTATGATCCCAACAGGGAGTCATAGATGCATGGATGCCACACACACACATACGCTGCACCACTCGCACACCTGTGCCAGGGGAGGAAACACTCAAATACTCCACTCAGCACATCCCAAGAGCTGTGGACACCTCTACTTAGGCACCTACACCTACACAAGTACACACTCAGTGCTCAGGGAGACTAACTTTGGGCTTCCAAATGTTTGCAAAAAACGTGCATCAATTATCAAATTGACATACAAATTGTCAAGTTTGTTTTGACTGTGCAGAGGTTTCATTTTGCGTAGTTTGAGCCATATTTCTTAACCAACCTGCTTTGTACTGAGAAGATGATGCAAACGATGAGCTTGGAAAACTTTGGCCGTTTGCTCTTTTAAAATCTCCACACATCTCCTTTCTTTCCTCTGCAGCTCTTCAAGTTCATTCAAATCTTTCCTGGAACAGATTAAAAAATATGTATTCAATATTAATTAATATTTATTGTACCTGGGATATATTTATTGAAAAAATCCTTGAAATCCCAACACCTCAACCCTTACAATTTGATATTGATGAAAATTATCAGCTTTTTAATGAAACCCTTAATTGCCTTTTAAACAAATAAACTAAAATATTTTTTGTAAATATAAAACTGTTTGAGATCATTTTTTACAACTCTGATTTGGCATTTAGAGCCTTGCAGATGGATGAAATACCTTCAAAGTGAGACAGAAATGCAAAAGAAAAGAGAGAGTGCACAAACAAGCGGCGAAGTGGAGGCAGTGGAGCTATAAGTAGGAGGATGATGGATATATTTCATCAGCGCAGCCAGGACAGGTCTTTCTGTGACATCTGTTAAGCGTAGCTGGCTAAATAGAATGCATTAAAAGCCCATACACAGCAATTTCATTCTGCAATCACACAGCCTTGTTACGAAGAGGTAATAATTTAAAGAGCAGCAAAACAATTACCAAAACACACAGGCCATGGTGATGCGGATGTATACGTACTGTTCAAATTAATCTTATTCTATCAAGAGCAATACCAAGAAGTCCTCCCTCCATCATTCCTGGATGCAGATACATCTCTAAATGTCTTCTCAACGTTCATTTGCAATAACAAACCTTAGTGGAAGAATCTGAATATTAATAGTGTATTTGTAATGTAAGGTTAACACATTTTGGGGCAGCTGACACGAATCGCAACCCTGTTTCCACTGCCTTTGCATTCTCATTTCGTCCTCTACTCCAGAGAAAATTACAAAATAAATATGCAAAATATCATGTGTGCTGAAGAATATTGTAAAAGTTACAGTGTGTGTGTTTTCATGATATTTCATTTATGTACAGATTTAAAACATGATGTGATTTACAGATAATTTATGCACAGGGTAAATAGGGGTTGCCTGGCCTCTATTTCCTCAATCATTATAGTAATATTAGTGCTTAAATGTAAACTATAGAGTGTTGTTATCAATCAGTCAAGTGATTTCCATACACATACAGTAGAGATATGAAGAAGCTAAAAACACCAAACACCTTTACTGGTACTGTAATTAGTATATGACTGCAAAAAAATACAGATAAAATACAGATTATGATTAAAAAAAAATATCATTAATATAAAGAAAACAATTTACTAATTTAGCAAAGGTTCCTGCGTTATAGGGTCTAGGTGGTACATGTTCATATTCTTAGCAAAATATGCTTTTATGTAAAAAGTAATAAGTGACTAGTGGGTGACTAGGTGCATGTAAAAAGAGTGGGTGCATGGCTGGATGTGTGTGTGTGTATGTGTGTGTGTGTGTGTGTGTGTGTGTGTGTGTGTGTGTGCGTGTGTGTGTGTGTGTGTGCGTGCGTGTGTGTCAAGTTGAATGGGTGACCTTTGCTTCTCTGCCCCCAGCCCCAGTGTTATTAATTGCTGTGTAGTGGACAAAAGCCAAACAGATTTGTAACGGCTGAAGGCACCTCGATCTGTGTCGACCCAACCAGCCGCCACAACATACAACCCTCATTAGCCCTGTATGCCACGCTGCACTGGGAAGAGGCTCTGGGTAAGTGACTGGAGAGAATGAGTCAAAAGAATATGGATTGAACAATATTTTATAATAACACATAATGTAATCAAATATCAATAAATTATGTAAACTATTATTCTGAACTGATCCTCAAAGAGAGCTTAATCAACTATTGAGAAAATTTTTTAAATAACTGAATGACATTTTCACCTGAGCCCTTTAAGTTATTAATGTTTCAATGAAGTAGGTAAAAAAGTTTAAATAATTCACATTTAAGAAGTCAAGGAATAATAGAAAGAGGGCGTTGTAGGACAGCAGGAAATCATACAACATTAGAGCAGCTAATTGGCCAGGATTTAAATATTTCAAGACAGCTCGACCCGATTGACTCTTTTAATTGCTCAACTTAAATAATTCAGCAGAATGGAAAATAACTAACTAAGCTAGTCAATATGGGAGAAATATGCAGTGCAGGGACTTCAGTAGTTATTCACAGTTTCTTTACTATCATCAATATGAGGAATAGCCCCTTGAGATGAACCATCTCGTTTTCGAGGGGTCCTCAGTTCAAATTCACAAAAAACAAGTTAGACAGCAGAGCAGAATAACAAACAAAAAATAAGACAAAGATAAAAAACGAAGAAATAAAAAAGAATAATACAAAAATAAACTCTCACTCTCACACACACTCAGACATAATGCATATTTTCCTGATTCTCTTTTCCAGGGTTCTAGGAACAACAAGAAAGATCTGGTCATTGTGACGCAGGCTGTATTGTTAACTAAATAGCACTGCTTCAAGTAGAGTTACGTTCTCCAACATTGTCTTATGATGATGTTTAGAATGTTACACATTATGCTTTTTATACAGTGCAACAGTATTATAGTGACAAGCATGCACCTGTAAACAAGGGTCTGGTTCAATAGTGTTACCATCTGGCATCACAAGTATCTCTGTGCTTTGCCTTGTAACTGATACACACATATAAGTGAACTTAGTAGTGAAAACAGGGAAAAAACTCCTAAACTCAACACAGAGTATTTGAGTTAATCCAACACACTGTGATGAATGGTGGTGTCACCCGAAACGTCACATTGTGTGATGATAATTAAAATCTCTTGGAACAAAAGCTGTGCAGAGTCATCTCCATTTTTTCACTGTTCTATTTTCGACTTTTTTGCACACTACTCAGACTTGGATGTGCGCGTCAAACTCATCTTAATCCAACACACTGACACCATTTCCCTGATAGGAAACCAGGTTTGTTTGAGGGCTCATAAACTAGATGAGAACTAGCCTCTCTCTGTATCCTCCATCCCACCCTTCATCTCCTGCCTTTCACCCCTCCCAAACCTGGGAAATGGCAACGTGTGGCTTTGTTCGGCGCAGACGACTTTTAGCGACCCTCCTAAGAGGTTTGGCTGACCTCTTCTCCACATCTTGGATTCACTTTTTATGCACTTATCATGTATGTATTTCATATCTTAAGTAAATCCCACAAAGACACTTAGAAATTCGGCCATAACAACTTGTTTACAGATAATGTGCATGGAAAGAAAAGAGACTCAAACCAGTCATGATAGCAGCATAATATAATAATATAATATTGCAGTAAGGCAGATATGCAGCTTGTTCTTTATTTAAGCAATTGTTCTTTTATATGTCCTTGAGACAAACCCACTACCAAATATGAATAATAATATGAAGATCCAAAGCAGGAAACCCCAAACCATCACAACAACATCAGTTACTGACCACATGCAGAAGCTCATTCTGTTCAAGGGTAGTATATCATTTATCTGATTATGGCAATAATAATTACCCAGCTGTTTACTGTAAATGTAATATTTCATGTAGTCAACAGGCCATGGTGGAGTCAGCAGCAGTGATGACACCAATACATTTGGTAAATATGCAAAGTGAGGTCTCTCTGCGTTTTCTAATTGCCCCCATCGTCCCCGTGCATGCCCTTATTATAGCCCAGGAACTTTAAGTGTTTCCCTGACAAAGTGATAAATTGTTGGGATACCAAAGGAAAAGTGTGGTGGAGTGGGGACCGCATCGAGGTCTTGACTTCATTAAGCAAAGCAGGAGGGAAGGGATGAACGAGGGTGGACACCGAAAGCCACATATTGAGAAAAGGGAGTGAGGAGGAATAGAAGAATGATAGGATACTAGAGGGTGCAAAAAGGACAAAGGAGTGGAAAGGTGACTGTAAAGTGAATGCATGAGGTTGATTTTTAAACTTGAGAGATAAGCATGCCTTTCTTAAAAATGTTCCCAGTCGTACTAGGTAATGGACAGTGTGTACCAAGTATACAGAGATCTGTTTGTTGTGAAATCATCCTGGCAGAAACAGGCATGGCATTGAACACAAAAAGGATATTTTAAATAATGGCGCCACGATGTTAATTGATTGTGACCCAAGCTGCACTAAATAAACATGTCATTAACTAGAGAGAACCTGACCTCTTCACCCTGAACCAGTGGGGAGGGGCTTTGAGAGAGAGTGATTAGAGTGAAAGCGGGGCCAAAATCCCTGGTGCATTCTTTCTATCAGCTAGAGCTTATACAGGCAAACTGAAACTATATATCTTGTGTGTAGTCATACATGTTTTGACAGACAAAATTATGACTTAAAAATAAACCTGATTATGAATACTTCCTTATGAATTACAAATTCCCATTCACAGCTCAGGACCCTCTGGACCTCAAGACACTAGTGTGATATTTACTCTGACCGCCATCTCCCCGTAGAAATTCATCTTCATGATAAAATATGCCGCCTGCGAACACAAAGGAAAAGATGGCGTTACATCTTGTCTTGCGGCTCTCTGATCTGTCCACAGCAGGCGTCAAAGATAAAGATCTCTTTATACATAATACATAGCACAGGGGAAGTACAGATAGCACCAGTGCGAAGTAAGAGAGAAAGGGGGCAGCAAAGTAGAGATTGAGAAAGAAAAGACAAGACTAAAAGAGAAAAGTAGAATATTGAAGAAGAAGGAAAAGAAAGAATAGGCAGGTATTTAGTGGGTCTTTGTATCAAGGGGAGGACGACAGTCCCTTAATGCAGCAACGCTGACAAGGGCCAAGAAAATCTATGATAGTCAAGCAGTGAGCTAATGGAGATGTATGACAGTAGAACGTTCTCCTCTTGATTTTATAATCAATGACAGGGCTGCCAGAAACAACTAACAAAAGGCCCGGGAATATTCAGAACGCCAAACGTCAGCCATCCACTGGGGGCACATTTTAAGAGCAACCTGAAGAGCCAGTCATAAAAAGGATTCATATCTTGACATGCCTTACTGAATATTGACAATGAAGTATGGGAGACACGGAGAGGGACCGAAACAAAGTCTTGAAAGTGGGTAATACATTTAGCCTGATGGTTTCAGATGAGATGTTGCGCACATTCGATTACGCATGAGAAAGAGTGAGAGGGAAAGGGAAACTCCTATGGCTAATCTAAAAGAGTCAAGTGTGGCAACTCGGAGTGATCCAAATTAGCACTTGTCTGCTGCCAAATGAGACTAAACAGCCTCTTTTTGCCCATATGTGTGCTGTGACACATCCTTGATCGTTTATTTCAGCAGCGCTCACACCGCAGGCCTCAACCCCCCTCTTCATTTCTTGAACGCCTCCCAAATGGCGGCTGGCAGTTATGCTTTAGCAAACAGTCAATTTACAAGCATGATAAATAGCTTGTTGTGATATGTTTACTAAACTCAATCCAGAGGAAAATTATATGTGAGAGCACTGGGTATTGGATACGGTATCAACAATCTGTTCAATTAAGAACCAGTTGGAGGCAATATGTTGGAAATGGGACCTTGTTTTACCAAAGTGTGCATGCATACACAACCCCTTTACTTCACTAAATGCTTCCCAGGAGTTGTTGCGTTCTGATGGAAAATGGGATCTCTTATCGTATTTATATTTCTTAAGAGCTAATTTCTCAATGTGTAAGGAGTGAATTATATTTCCTAAGGTCAGACGCAGAGGCTAAGGGATAACGCAATTGAATTCTAATGCCTGCTATCATAACATAATCAATATATCTATAACCATTATGGGCTCTATAGCTTACCTTCACCATTTGTCTGAATCGTGACCTTGCTCTGAAGCCTCGCCATATCTTCTGTATAATGACGGCTTTCTTGTGCAGATGCCTGTAATTTAGGATAGGAGGGAAATGGGAGGTGATATTGACATGTCTTAATTTCTTGATATGCTTTTTGAAAAATAATCATAACAATATTCTGACGAAATAAATGATTTTTTTTAATCATTTATTTATGCTTTTTCAATTATTAACAAACAAACACATAAGCAGACAAACATAAACCCCATGGAGATTACCGCAAGAGACAACACACACACACACACACACACACACACACTAAAAAAAAAAAAAAAAAAAAAAAAAGGAATTCAAAATTTAATCAGAACTAATAATATTAAAGGCACACCGCGGACTTTGTGACCTAAAGAGTTGACACATATGAGTTATTTTATATGAATACTTGGGCCAATATACAGCGCTTGACACTTGCAATGCTCCGAGCGGGGCTGCCCTCTTGAAATACCGCCCATGTAAGTTTCGAGCAGACGACGGACCGTCTGCCACCAGGTCACGTGACTTGGAAGAAAGACTTGCTTTACGGCTACAGGCGCTGATATACTCATGGAGCTAAGGCTTTTGCTACTCATTTTTCACCTGCTCGACTCCTGGTCATGGCTGAGGCAAGGAAAAATTTTAAACCTTCGGAGGAGGCTAAAAAGAGGAAACGCGAAAGGGATCGTGCTGTAAGCTGCATGTCTGTATGAGCGCTGCTCTTCACCTGGTTCCTGGATGTCATCGACTGCAAAGATGTCATTCCACGCAGCACGAGCTAGACGCAGAACTCCCTCATCCAGGATATAGAAGTCCATGTGTGGTAGATTACTAATGCAGCGGTCTGGAGGCTGACCACAGCAGAGTCTCTCAATATCTGTAGGCATGTCTCTACAGTTTGAACACACACACCAGTGCATGCTGTCTGAATACACACTCAAAAGACACCGGCTGACTGTTTGTTGACTTTTGCGACAGTGCTGAGTTGCTTGTGGCCACTAGGGGCGCTAAACGTGAAAGTTGCAGGTCTAGCGCCCCTAGTGGCCAAGAGTTACACGGTGTGCCTTTAATATTAAATTTAGTTAACTAACAAAGGATTGCCATATCTCATCAAATTCACACGCTTTCCCTTTAAGGACAAATTATATTCTTTCATGAGCTAATGTTGTTGCCAGCTCTCTTTTCCATTGCTCACAAACAGGTCTTTCTTTGTCTTTCCATTTAAATGCAATTATTCGTTTGGCCTGAATTAGACAAATATTAAGTAAATGAATCTTTTTTGAATTTAGTGAAATATTCTTAGGGTGATGTAAGACTGAGAATTTGATGCCAAAACAATTGAAGCTCTTTGCATTCCCATAAACAATGAATCAAGGTTCCTTTTTGTGTGCATTTATAACATTTATTTGAACTTTTACGGTCGATGTATTGTAATTTTACTGGAGTAATGTAGGTCCTAAGCAACCATTTATATTGAATTAATCTACATTTTGTATTAACTGTTTGGGTCTGAGCTTGTAAACATGTTTTTTCCCATTCCTCCACTGAAATGTCCACATCCAGGTCTTTTTTCCAAGCAGACAAGTAGGAGAGCGAGTTATCTTTTGAGGCTGAAATATGCATGTTGTAAAACGCTGATAGTTGACCCTTTCCCTTTAGATTAGAGATTGTGTATTTTTCTATTATTGTCATTTTGGGTTCTGCCAATTGATGGGTTTCTGAATGTATAAAATGTCTTAATTGTAGGTATTTAAATAAGTGTTTTTTGGGGAGATTGAATTTGTTCACTAATTGATTAAAAGACATTAAGTTGTTTTCAAAGTATAAGTCTCCAATTTTTTGTACTCCAAGTGTCTCCCAGTGCTTAAATCCCAAGTCATTTGTGCCGGGTTTGAAGTTTTCATTCCCCCATATAGGTGAGAAATGGGGCAGTTTAATAGGATCATTAAGAACTGAGTGTACCTTATGCCAAACTATCAAAGTGTTTAGGAGAAAAGGGTTTTTTGTATACTTTTTCAGGTGATTCAGCTTTGACAAATACATGTATAAATGCAAAGGAATCTTGATACCACAGTTCTCAATCTGTATCCAAGCAGGAACCTCATCTGAACAAAAATAAAACATTGTCAAGCGAAGCTGGGCTGCCCAGTAATAAAGTCGTATGTTTGGCATTTTCAGTCCTCCGCGTTCGTACGGCAGATATAAAAGAGAAAGGCGCAGTCGAGGGCATATGTTGCTCCAGATGAAACGTACAAAGGTCTTGTTTAGTCGATCAAAAAAAACAGCAGGGAGAGGTAATGGTATTGACTGAAACAGATTCAGCAGTTTGGATACAACTGACATCTTAATTACATTAATACGTCCAATCATTGAAATAGGCAAAGTACTCCATCTGTTTAGCAGGTCTTCTATTTCCTTCACCAGTGGATCATAGTTTGCAGAAATTATATCTTTTATACAGGGTGTAATGTTTATACCTAAATACACAAATCCATTCAAACTGATATTGAAATTTGGTTGAATTGGGGGCGATAATCTTTCCGACTGATTTAATAAAAGCAGCTGAGATTTTGTAGTATTTATTTTATAGCCTGAGAAATGGCCAAACAAATTTAATAGTTTATTGATCGCAATCCTTCTAAAACGTGCAACGAAAGTGTAGGATTTGGACCACTAAAATTGCGTTTTGTAGTCAAACATAATGTTTTGAATGTCTTTGGGCTGAGAGCTGATTGGCTGAACAGAAGCAGCCAATTTTGTGTAGTTGAAAAGTTATATACCCCTTTAATGGACAATGTGCTATGTTATTCATTCACTTACCTAAAGTTATACCTGAAAACCCCATAGTGTACTATGTTAGATACATAAAGTACATGTTTTCCCCTCTCATACTGATGCAATATGAATTTATTACTGGTTTAGTAGACACACTTCCATTTGCAAAGGACAGGTTTAGTACTCCGTAATGCTCACTCAAAGCCATATAGAATATTTTTCACAGGGTTTTAGATCATGTCTGATAAGCCATTCACCTCTTCAGTTGGAGCCATGCATTTGTATTCATCTTCAAACACACTCTAAATGCAAGTCCATTGCGATTCTCTGCTTCCAATGAGGCCATCAATTTCCAAAAGGCCATTTATATGCCCAGAAAATCAATGCTGATAGTGGGGATAGCACAACCTCAGAGTTGCACTTAAGCAGCTAAAACTGTTGCTAATTATCCACTTAACGCATTGATCAATTAACTAAAGTAATCTGAATTAACCTACTGTCTGGAAGTTTGTCTGCTGACCCTGCAGAATGGGGCTTGGGTCACCACATAAGAACAGGCAGAAATTATAAGACATTTATTTCGCTCTGTATGAAGGGAGCAAAGAGGCGACATTTATGCTTCACATATACGCTTCAATGTGTATATGTGCTTGTGTGTGAATGCGTGCGTGTATATATTCACAAATCACGTAGGTTAATTACCTGATGTAAGCCCGAACTTTGCAGGCTCGGAACCAGCTCTGGATGTCGATTGCAGCCTTGTTTTCTTTTTGTCTACTTTGTTCTGCTAAACTGGTGACGACATATGAAATCAGGTAAATTATTAGATGGATTAACGTTAGTGTAACGCTAGTAATATATGTTGTATCTGATTATTTTACGTTGCATTAGCTATATATTTGGCAATTTGGCTTTAAAATACAACTCTACTCCATTTTCGTTTGGAGCGCACACATGGTATCGTTAGCTGCTCTGTGTCAGGGTATAATGACAGATTCATGATGTCTAGTGCGTAATCCAACCTGTTTCTATAGAAGTATTCCTTTCTGAACTCGGCTGCTCTCGACAGATTCGCCATGTCAAACCCAAACCACGCAGGTGTAAGTTTGTCCGTTGCCTCGGCAACCGTTTGTGGCGCTAGCAAACAACACCACGTGGGGCAGAGGACGAATGATGGCGCAGCTGAGTGAGTGCTTTTACCAATTGAAAGTTTTTGATACCGTGTTTAATACCCCCGTTAGCAAAGTGTGTCTTTTGTTATGAATATGTACGCCAACGCTGAATGTATATAAGATTAATGGATGCTATGATGTACGCGCTAATTTATTACGCAATTCCGATACAATTGTCAAATGCACAAAAACATGCTACACCAATAAGGGATGTATGAACTAAGCTACACGAAAACTTTTTGAGATTTATGTTTACCCAAATATTTACAGTCTATGGTTTACAATAGATCCATGGGTTTCCCCCAGAACATTCACTCTTTCCCCTCGCTCTTTGGTGAAGCTTATCAAATATTAGCTTGGGCAAGTAATAATTCAGCGCTGTCCTTTGCACACTTTTTAAAACAAATGTCCTCCTATTTCGGATTTAATGTGCATTGTTTTTACATTTTTCTCAATCACCTCCATGTATTTTACATCCCAAGATTTTCTTCTTCCTTGTTAGTTTTTTTCTCTTAGCTATAAGGGAATTCAGTATGTCTGCCAGTTGGTCAAGGGGAAAAACTGTCTGTATTATAGATTATTCTTGGACAGCTTGATGACAGATGGTGGAAGTGTGTATCTTCATATTTCTTGAATCACACCCACTCCCTGTCAGCTAGATGAGGTTTCTATTTCTTTTTCTAAGGCCAATTTGCTATCTTAAGTGTGACCACATAGCTGCAGAGCTGTGCAGCAGATGTCTCAGGTAGAGTTATGGCTGAAGGGCCAAGACCATGGTGGCGAAGCCCATCCATCCAGACATGGCAGAAGGGCAGCCACCCTGGTAATTACAGGAAGAATGTTGTTTTTACAAGACAGGGCAAACACAAATACTACAGAGAGAAAGAGAGAGAGGAAAGGAAGACATTTTTAGGACACGACATGATGACCATCAAGACAAAGCCATTAGTTTGCTGACAATGCTGATTAGATGTTCTATACTGTGAAACTGGTGAGTAAATCATAACAAAACACATTCTCAGTATTGGCTTCTTTGTGTGTACATGATGCTGGTTGTATACACATAATAACTGTCACTGTAGCACATTGCACACCTGTCCCCAATGGGTCATGTCATTAAACATGTCTCCAGTCACCTCTCACTGTCCCAAGGCCCATACAACAAGTCATTCTCTGTGTGTATTGTTCTTAAACTAAACAAAAAAGATTCAGCCCAGTAGTGATACAGTGTACTCTGTGTACTGTGTATACGTTGTATTTTTGCCTGTTTGATATTGTATGAGAGGTTTCATCTACATTGTGTATGTCAGTGGCCTTGGTCTGTGGTTGATAATGCATAATAATAATGAGAATAATTCTAAACTTATGTTATACAAAATATGAACTACTTAGCCAATACGCATGAATTCCTAAATTAAATTTTTTTGCTACAAATTGTTCTCCCTAAATCGAGACAATGATATCCCCAAAAATGTTGACCTATGCAGTTTTGTAACTACACAAATCATTGATTGAAATGCAGTTCTGTGTTTTTTTAAAATTCATCCTAAGATTTTTGTGCTATTTGTCGTGGTAATTTATATATTAGTTGTATTTATGAAGCTGCTGTTACTTATGCAGTTCCAATGGTTGTGCTACTCACTGTCCGGGTCTTTTTTGGACTCCTCCACTTCCCCACCCACATTTCCTCATTTCACGTCCTAATAGCCTGCTAATGGATAAAAACTATGATTGTGCCAGTAGAGGAGAAATATCATACCTTTATTAGCCTACCTATACCCATCGAGAGAGAGGGAGGGAAATAATGAATTGAGCATTGTGTAAAATGGTTTAATGCTGGGGTGGTTCATCATTATTTGTGGCGGATTGCATGCAGACAGGGGTGATCCATTAGTGTGGTCCTTCCATCTGTGGTTGTGTGTGTGTGTGTGTCTTTTGGTATGTGTGTCCCGCCCAGAAGGACATTCACTGCTGCCGGCCCCCACTGTCACAATGAGAGATTCATCACCACACTTGCAGACACACACACACACACACACACACATTCCCACAAAGAGGTACGCATGTAGCATTATTATTATTATTATTAGCCATTAATTGTTTTGGGTCTCATCTATAACATTTTCTATTAGTGGAACCAGAAAAAAAAGACTTGCAGAAAGTTAGTTTGTAATTCAAATTATATACATTACATACAAATCAAGAATGCATTTAGAAACATTTTGGCGGCAGTTCCGCCTCTCTGTAAATAATGTGAATTCCACACATGTCTTCCACAGTTTTATTTTGGTCCTTTACAGTCTTTTGTTCATAGCCCGTATATCAGGAGTAAACTGTCTGCGTGCTGACGTCACCCATAATGTTAGTTTTATTCCAGAAGATGCTTATTTGAACACAAGCTAGCTGGGGCCAATTTCTAGCGCTCAATTTCTTCCACAGCATTAGCTTCCCACTGCAATAGGAGCAGACTTGTTGCTAAGGCGTCTGATTGGTCAAATCCTTGCATGGCTCATATCTTGAAGACAATATCAAAATATAAATAACAGCGTCATAGAACGCGCTAAACCAGATTTGTTAAGCCCAAAATGGTGAGCATGACACAAAGTGTCACTGAGCTAGAAGAGTTTACTTTACAATAGAAGCCAGAGTGATGAGCCGTTTACACGAGGACGCTGCAACAGTAAAACGTTAGAGTTGGGTATCGATTTCAATTTCCAGTTTTGCTGGTATTGTGAAATGCAGAATGATGTTGGCACTTTCTTTCAGGTCTTCGCGGTGGCCTGAGGAGGACGTTGTTGAGGAAGTGACTATACTGGTGGGGGTTTTGCGGGTGTCGTAAAGTTCCTCTGCCCCCTACTGGCCAGGCGCTAGAACTACATTGTTTTTCCGTCATCATGTAGATGCTGTGCACTTCGAATAAGGAGCCTGGACCTTTTTGCTAATTGTGTTTCCGTCTACACAGGATCTGAGTTGGAGCAAAACTTTATCCATGTTGAGGAGGGTTGAGGAGGCATCAACAATGCGCAGTGCACTTATCCATGTGGAGCGGTAAACATTTTCAAACATATTTTAACAAGGGTACATTTATAATGGAAAGAACAGCGCAAGGCCATAGTAGGGGTGTGGTGTATGGCCAGCTGAATTAATTGAAAGTAAATATACATTTTTTGTTGTCAAAATAGTCCAAAGCAAGGTGTTTGTTTGTTCTAATCTCAATATTTGGACAATATAAAATTGTCTTAAGAAATGATGTACCGTATTAAACAGTTGGATTGTTTTAATTAAATGTTTCTGTTTTCAGTCCTCCATTAGCCTGGTCTTACCACACCCTCGTACAAATGTCTTTTCGCACTAAGGTCTGGATTTGCTCCATTTACCTCCGTTAACAGGTGACGTATGTAATGCGCCCGAGTGAGTCGCTAGCATTTAGAATTTAGCCTAGCATCTCCTTTACCACTATCGACGCGCCTGTGGGGGGTAGAGCCACAACATTTCAGCCAGCAATGAAATCTGCTAAACATTCCTCTTGCTCTGGCTTCAATTTCTTGATATTTGCATTCGATTCTATTTGCATCTATTATTGCATTTGCCACCATTGCCAAACCACAACCAGTAAATTCGGCGCAAACGCTTGACGTCACTGTAACCTACCTACAACACTCGCCTCCCTCGCTCGCTAATTGGTCGGATGGGCTTCACACTTTAAGGCCTTCGGCAAAAGTCTGAGTTTGTGTGGCAATGTTTTACAGTATCAGTGCATGGTACACCACCAGATGAACATGATATTAAAATGATACTCTGCAGCCTTTATTAACAATACAACCTATATAAGACTTTCTAAATTTCTTACATAATTTTTCACATTGCAAAACACTGTAATTAATTGCAGACGGGTACCCTTTCACTCATATTTGTCCAATAAAAACACATTGAAACAGATTCCACCGGTCAGGCAATACATGAATAATATCTATATATGTATACACTCAATGTAAAATATCTAGGAATCCCTCTATATCTGGCTATCAAAACTCTTCAACTCTCTTAATTACTCTTAATTACACAGTTACATACATTATATATATATATATATATATATATATATATATATATATATATATATATGGTTTGTGTAATCACACCTTTTGTACCTTCTGTGACCACACTATAACACGCATCAACAAGCTTGAATTTGTGCTTTACTGTGTGTGTCCAAAGAAGTTTGGATAGCTTTGGCCTTTTGGCCAATATAACTGCTGACAGATTAGTTTTCCAGCTCACACAGCAGAGTGAATACCATTATGGGCCAATTACTCTTGAAATAGACCTTTTTATGGTATTTAATTGTAACCAAAGTAGTATTTTTATTACAATTATGAAGTAAAGAATAGCTTAGATGTTACATAATTTCAAACATTTAAAAATCTGTTTGAGAATATCCACCAGACTCTTTCTTTAATACTTGGATTTGTAGAGACCATTACACTCTTAAAGCCTCATCACCCAAAAAAGAAATAGCCTTTCTTTTTAAAGAAAGACACTATAGGCACAACCTCACTACATATTACCAGTAAATATATATATATTTTTTTTCCTAAGATTGTATTGTATGTATGTATTGTATCGTATATATTAGTGTGGTCAAACAATTGAAAAATGAATTGAATTAATGTCATAGTTTACAATTAATCACACAGTTTTCTCTGTTCTAAATTTAGAACTGGGGAAAATGTGCGATTTGGTTTGAAAAAGGATTGGATGAAGAAAAAAGCTCATATTATTCGAATATTCTCTAAAAATAAAGTATTTGGATTGTTTAATATTGGCTACTCCAGGGGGGGAAAAATCTCAAGCTTTTTCAATGGCAGTAAGATATTATAAATTCACGATAGATAACAGATTTATT